TCAGCAAAACAAGACAGAGAGATTAGAGATCTCGGATTACCCGTCTCTTTAAGCTTCTTGTGGTATTAGCCACAAAGGAACCGGTCAAACTGGATCAGAGACGCAGCACCAGATGAGAGGGAACTAATCGTTTCCCTCATGCCAGACAATGCAAATAACCTCTGAAGCTGCCTTTTGCCCCACCAAAAAAAACCATGAAAAGGCAGTTTTAGTGTATACACCCATGTACACAGGAAAAACGGATCGTTGGGGAAACATGGTCCCCGCTTCTCCTAAGGACCTAGTCTAATTTCCACCCTCCTTGTGACAATTGTTAATAGAAATCTGAAGAAAATCATAGACGAAGAAGAGATTGGATTTATACCCCACCCTTCACTACCTGAAGAAGTCTCAGAGCGGTTTACCATCACCTTCCCTTCCTCTCCCCACAACAGACACCCTGTGAGGTAGGCGGGGCTGAGAGAGCTCTCTGGAGAAACTGCCCTTGAGAGAACAGCTCTGAAAGAACTTAGAACGGACCCATGGTCACACCAGCAGCTGCAAGTGGAGGAGTGGCCTCATCTAGCATGGCCCCTATAGGTTAAATAAGTGAGGAGGAACAGGGCTCTGCGAATTGGCCTTCAGTGGGTGTTGAGGGTAGGGTCGCCAGGTCCCCCTTGGCCACCAGTGGGAGGGAGGGTTGCCAGCTCCAGGTTGGGAAATTCCTGGAGATTTGTGTTAGGGTAGGGGGTGGAGCCTGAGGAGGACAGGGACCTCAGTGGGGTACAATGCCTGAGAGTCCGCCCTCCAAAGCAGCCATTTTCTCTAGGGGAACTGATCTCTGTAGTCTGGAGAGGAGCTGAAATTCTGGGGGATCCCCCGGTCCCACCTGGAGGCTGGCATCCCTGAACCTCAGTCGGGCACAAGGCCACAGAGTCCACCCTCCAAAGCAGCCATTTTCTCCAGGGGAAACTGATCTCTGTCATCTGGAGATGAGCTGGAATTCCAGGGGATACCCAGGTCCCACCTGGAGGCTGGCATCCCTGAACCTCAGTCAGGCACAAGGCCACAGAGTCCACCCTCCAAAGCAGCCATTTTCTTCAGGGGAAACTGATCTCTGTCATCTGGAGATGAGCTGGAATTCCGGGGGATCCCCAGGTCCCACCTGGAGGCTGGCATCCCTGGACCTCAGTGGGGCACAAGGCCACAGAGTCCACCCTCCAAAGCATCCATTTTCGACAGGGGAACTGATCTCTGCAGTCTGGAGAGGAGCTGAAATTCTGGGGGATCCCCAGGCCCCACCTGGAGGCTGGCGTCCCTAGCTGAGGGACTTATCCAGGGCCACTGCCACCAGCTGTGGTTCCTGTTTCTTTAGCCACACAGCACCTTCAAGTATACTTTTGGGAACACCTTCTATAGCATGTTAAACTGCTTATCACACATTCAGTGTAAACATTTATTGAAGATTTAAGCAACGGCTTACAAAGTAAGCAAGAAAGCCTGAGGGAAAATCCCCAATTCGAAAGAAGAAGAGATGGGATTTATACCCCGCCCTTCACTCGGCGTCTCAGAGCGGCTTACAATCTCCTTTCCCCTCCCCTCCCCACAACAGACACGTTGTGGGGTAGGTGGGGCTGAGAGAGCTCAGACTGCCCCAAGGTCACCCAGCAGCTGCTTGCGGAGGAGTGGGGAAATCAATCCCGGTTCTCCAGATTAGAATCCGCCGCCCTGAACCACTACACCAACTGGCTCTACTATAACTCAGAGTACCCAGAATAAATCTAGAGTCCAGTGGCACCTTTAAGACCAACAAAGGTTTATTCAAGGTATGAGTTTTCGTGGATCTATCCTTTCGAGAGTACCCAGTCAGACATCTGGTGGATTTACGCCTATGCCACAAAATGCTTTCCTTGGCGGCTTTCTTTTCCAGACCTCGGTTCCTTGGCTGTATTTTTGTTCATTTTTAAAAGACCCCAAAAACCCTCTTTTCCCCCCCTTACAGAGACATGGCCAGCTGTGGTTTGGCTTTCTAGTCAGAGGAGGGAAGGAAGAAGGCACCCAAAAAACCCCCAAACCTTCTATGGTCATTGTTTCCCTTACAGTCTCCGACAGGTGACAAGCAGGGGTCGTTAAACAGCATCCAAATGGCTCGCTCACAGTTTTACGGCCAGCAGCTCACAAAGTAGAATTTCTGCTCACGAGACTCTACAGCTCAGAGGGAGCATTGCTGGGGACCCCCGCTGTAGGATGCAGAATGGTTGGGGGTAGGTGACAACTAGCAGAGGGTGGATGAAGACATTCTGCATGTGCTCCTCGACCCCTCTGTTCTCGATTACTTGTCACCAGAGGTCGATTCGGGGG